TCAGTTTCTCATCTCAGTCCCAAATTCCTTATTTTAGTGATGAAGATGCCTCCAAAACCTCAGCTTTTCCATTCTTTATCGCCCCACCAGACCCCCTTTGTCCAAGAACTTCAGGTATGCCAAGGACCCTTTTTTGGTTTCTTCCATTTTCGTTGCTAAACAAAGAATTATTTTTGTCATTTCATGTCTGTTAGGTAGGTGGGTGGGTTTAGATAATCAGTTTTTAATCGTACACAGTTGGGTTTGAAGATTTAGATGTTGGGGCTAACGTTAATTTTCGTAAAAGGTTGATTGGGTTTGCTTGGATTGTGTTTTCTGTTTCATTGGACAAATTATTGGTCTTTTCAGGACTAGTATCATACTAATGAGATTTGTAGATTTTTCCCATGTCTTGTCAAGAAAAGAGAAAGGTTATTTTCGTTTTTCTTTTTCTGCCTTTTACTAATGACTATGTGGTTTTACCAAAACGCATGTCTTTCTCGTTATATGATTACTTTGTGATAAGTTTTTTACCTGGTTATTGATTGGTACTGGTATGTGTGAAAAATGACGAATTGCTGCTAATAAAAGTCCTTAATGTTCATGTAAGGGGCACGAATCCACAAATACGACTTTGCAGAAAACAGACTTTATTAGATTACGCTCCTTTCCTGTCATTCTCAACGTCCCCTCTTTTATTCTTTTCCTTAATTCCCTTCTCTCATCTAAATGAGAAGCATTCATTAGAAATACCATATGCTTTTAGAGATCAAATTGAAATTGTTTTGGGTCTTGGTTAGCATCATTTTCAAAATTTCTTAACTTAGTGTTGTCACTTCAATTGATATTTTTGTCTTTCCCTTTTTCTTTTCTTTTCGCTTTTTGGCTTTGAGCTTCTCCTTTTCAACCATTCGAGGACTTGAACAATTTATACTTGCCTTTTTGTGATTCAGGTTATGCTACGGAAAAGTCGACTGAGGGCATGCGTGGGCCATTTGCTAAGTTCAGAGGCCCCTTCACTCCCTCTCAGTGGATGGAGCTGGAGCATCAGGCTTTGATCTACAAATACATTATTGCAAATGTCCCAGTTCCTTCACACTTGCTCATCCCTCTTAGAAAATCTTTCAACCCATGTGCCTTTTCCAGCTTGTCTTCTGGATCCTATGGCTCCAGTTCGTGTAAGACTGTCCTCTTCTTACTTACTAGCCTGAATGAACTGGGTTATTTATACAAATGTTGTATTTCTTAACAGAAAATAAAAGATAATTTAATTAGTGTTCCAAAGATAGCGAAACGAATTTCTTGGAACTCAACTTTAATGCCAAAAAGCTACTCCAAAATGGATATCCGACTATCAATTTCTTTAGAAAACTTAGGCAGGCATTTGGCAGCAAATTTAAGGCAGTATCTACTCAACAGGTGCCTGACTGTTTGCCTTACAGTACTGCTGCCGCCACCTCTAAACGAATGGTATCCACCTCTGCCACCCCAATGCCACCACCAAGACAGATGACCACTGCCCCTCGTTCTCCAATGTCACCTCATGATATTACTCACCATCTCCTCCCACTTACTCACCAATATCACCCCTGCTTCAAATTCCACTCCTTCACCGACACCAACTTGCAATTCTCATCTCGCAACTCCAACACCATAGTTGGGAGAAGTGATGGGCTGGCCAGATTGGTGGAGAGAAGAGTGGAGAAACTTTTGTTAGGAAGAATGAAGAAGCAGCAGGGTTGTATAAAATATGCTAGGATGTAATTTGTGCAATTCTGTAACTAGTAGCATCAGTTCTTTTGGCCCTTTGACGCTTAGACAATTCTCAAGAACCTTATTTGCATTCTATTGATGTCTTTACATGCATTAGTTAGTGTATCTCAGACAAAATTTCATTCTAATCCCTAATTGTTTAAGAGTATAAGATAAATTACCATGTAACACATGCTTGATGTGATGTCAATAGTCGTTACTTTCTGAATCCCATTCAGGAGATAACCGTCTCTTTTCGGTTTTGCTTTTCTTTTTTTTTTTGGTATTCATTTTTCTCCTTGTGTGTACAGTGGGATGGGGTTCTTTCCATCTAGGTTTTGCTGGCAGCACTGATCCCGAGCCTGGGAGGTGCCGTCGAACAGATGGAAAGAAATGGCGGTGCTCAAGAGATGCTGTTCCTGACCAAAAATACTGTGAAAGACACATCAACAGGGGCCGCCATCGTTCAAGAAAGCCTGTGGAAGGCCAGAATGGCCATGCTGTCTCTGGATCCACTGCTTCAAAGGTGGCACGATTGCTTCATCTTCATCAGCATCGGTGATGTCCAGCAGCAGCGCCTCCAACAGCCTTGGTGCTGTACACCACTCTTTTAAGAATCTGCACACCCGTGCTGATAATGCTTCAACTGAACATCTTGTGAGCAGGTAAGCTATACAGCCATTTTCAGATACTGTTATCTATTTCAAATCATCAGTTCATTTCAAGTTTTGTGAGACTGTACGATAGTGTACTGCTCGTGCACTTAATTGCTTTGTCCCTTCTTCTTTACCATAAAATCAAGCTGATTGCTTTGGTGTTACAAATCTGAGTAGTCCTGGGAAACAAGTTGAGATACTTCACCATGGTGGATCTGCTGTGATTTGCTAGTCACAAGTCCATGGTTTGTCCTAGACTCCTAGGCAATATGAAGTAAGAGCATGCTGGAAGCTCTAGATTTCTCTGTTTGTGTTATAATTCTTTGTAGTCCCTTCCTTGCTAGCCTCCTACTCGTGATATAACCAGTTGGACATGAAAGAAAGCCACGTGTCTATGTTCTCTTTCCTGTGCTGAACTAAAGGCAATGCGTATGGCAGGATGCAAGATCTTCATGGCCTCTCCGCCGCAGGAGATTCCATCAACTTGAAATCCAAAGACTCGCCATTCTCCATTCAAAAGCAGCATGCCATATTTGGGGATCCTCTCAGACTGAATTTGGAGTTGTCTCCCCTGATTCCCTTCTTAATCCTTCTCAAAGATGCTCCAGGATGAGTTCTAAAACCTCTGATTCTCTATTAGGCTTCAATGACCATGAGACACCGAACCAACATCTGCTTCGGCATTTTATTGATAAATGTCCCAAGGATCAATCTCATCGTGCCTCTATTTCCTGGCCTGAAGAACTGAAATCAGACTGGACACAGCTGTCGATGTCGATCCCCATGTCTACCTCAGATTTTTCTTCATCTTCAAGATCTCCTCGGCAGGATAAACCAACTCTTTCTCCCCTAAGGTTAGCTCGTGAGATTGACCCTATCCAGATGGGATTGAGCGTGACTAAGGACGTCGTTGGGCAGAACCAAAAGCAGGCAAACTGGCTACCAGCTTCTTGGGGAAATTCAATTTTAGGTGGGCCGCTGGGAGAGGTTTTGAATAGCACTTCTAGCAACGCAGGAGGTTTCAAGAGCTCATCTACTCTGAACCTCATGACAGATGTCTGGGATAATAGCCCTCAGATGGGATGCTCTCCTACTGGGGTGCTACAGAAGTCAACTTTCGTCTCTCTTTCAAATAGCAGCTCGGGGAGTAGCCCAAGAACTGACAACAAGAAAGCTCCTGAAGGTGCGACCCTCTGCGATGATATTCTTGGTTCAACTCTTGCACATTCAACATCTATTCCATCCATGTGATGCCCCCATAAGAGTAGATGGAGGTGGACTTCAGGAAGTTTGTTGTACTTCATGTTGATCAGAAATTTATTTTCAGTTCTTTTCTCTCCCCCCCCCCCCCCCCGGGGGGGTCTTCTTTTTCCCTTTATTATGGTGTGCAATTAATTTGAAGCAGAGACTTGTTGCTCATCTGAACCCAGTATTCAATTGTAGGCACCTGTATTGTATCATCAACTGATTACATTCTGATATTACCTCGTTCCTTGTTATCTTATGGTGGCTGCTTGCTGTTATGTTTTCATACTGATTCAGTAATATTAGAAATGGTTTTATCTGATGAAGCTTTCAATATCTGAGACGAATATCCTGTGTAGTATGGTCACAAGAACCGACCTCACGTCAGCTTCTTAGTTCATAAACAGGGTGTAAAGTCAGAATCATCAAGAATTATTGAATTATTGTGGACAGCTTCTGTAAGAATCACGCAATCTCTTGTTGCTGTTACCAAACATACTGAAATTTATGCATTGGCAGGCGGCTGGACAGGCAACAATCTTTAATCGACTTCCAATGGAGAGACAAGGGATGTGCTGCGAAAGGTTAAAGGTCACGGGAGACTGTTGTAGGCAAGTATTGGGGAGCGTAACATCATATGCCTGCGTGTAATTTCACTTGTTTGTGTCCGCGGAACAGATGACCGGTTGTTCTTGTGTTTGGGAGGGACCTTCCCAGCGCTCCCAAACAGAGAACATAGCCAATTTGCCGCCGACAATCTAAAAAGCTTAAAATCACATAACAATCTGAAAGTGTTGTGCTGCTACATCACCTTCTGTAGTTTTTGAATCTTGCCCTCTTTATATTTCTAATATTTCGCTGCAAGATGTAACAGGGATTTGTAGCTGCTTAATTTATTCATACATTAAATCTCCCAAGTGATGGACCCAAAAAAAAAAAAAAAAAATCTATAAGACCAGAATATTCATTTGCAAATCATCCCAGAATTTCCTGAACGTTCAATAGCAAACCTATACCCATTTTCCCCCTTAACAACAAACAGATGGGAATTATTTACCGTCGTCGCGTACCTTTTACGGTTCAATAGCATAATAACAAAGATTAAATAAACGTAAGAGATAACGGAGTAAAACTCGTAAAAGAAGATGATGGAGATGGATAGCGGCAAGAGGTGGGCGTGTGGCTCAGATTCTATGGGTGTAAGATTGAGTCTCTCATGCCTCTGGCATTCAGAACGAGGAATTATGCATTCTAATCACTGCCAACATCCCATTTCCTCTTACTTGCTATCCATCTTCCACAAAATCAATAAAAAAACAAAAAAAAAGAATTAAGCTCATAGCATCATAAAGGGACATGAGTAAAGCGGGAGCTCAGACACGCACAAATCGGTCATCAAAGAAAAACAATGGTCGAGTAATCAACCAACTCAGCATCGAGAAACGATTTCAATCTTCATTGCCCCCATCACAACGCCCAGATATCAATAAATCGTTTATGTATAATGATTAGAAATTAAAATAGCTGATGTCCGCTAATTCTGCAAAAGTCCTCGACTCCCACCTCCGTCGACTGCTTATTTGCTGCTTATATACTACTACCAGCGAGGGGGAGAGCAAAACCCTAGAGGCGACAAAAAAGGGGCCTTCGATGGTAATGGGCTCGGCCGAAGTTACTCGGGATAAGCGGGCCGAAAATACTGGGCCCTGTCAACATGTCGCCCTTGCAATCATTTCCTTGGGAAGTTTGGCGTCTTTGACAGAATTACTAAAATTGATCAACGATCATGACATTTGCTGGGGATTCCTGATTTTGTACTTGATCATGACATGCATCGAGCTGCAAATTTTGCTACCAACCCATTAGTTAAACCTAACCTGCACTAGTTTTAGAAAAATCCGTTAGTATGGGGTGTACTTTGTTTGAATAACCTAACCTACACTGGTTGTTACTTGCCACTACATCAAGAAGTAAGCATCAATCGATTGGGGTGCGGATAAAGAGTTCCGGTTGGGATATATGAAAGGGAACAAGTCAGTGTCTGAGAGTCTTGTAAGGTGCAGCTGCAGCAATGGTCAATCGAGACAATCAGTAACACTTGCAGTGGAAGCAGGCCGCAGACCAAAACTAATACTGATGGCAAAATCTTTTCCTTATTAGACTGGTTACTGTCCACAGATTCTCGAGTTGATACTTGTTTGTTGTCTCCAGAAGCAAGGGACCTCGGAAGTCATGTGCAAAATCATTTCGTTTTTTGTACCTTGGTTAATACAACCACTGCTGCACCAACCGTTTTGTGTTTTCATCAACTTACTCATTGATGGATTATTTCATTTGCAAGTTATTTATGGAATTGGATCTCTCTCGTCTCCTCTTCTCCTTCTTTAACCGCTGGCATGCTTGATAATTTCGAAAGCAAAAACCACATATTTCATTGGAGTCCATTCACGTTTCGCTTTCTTGATCTGAAGGAGTCCACCATTATGGGAAAAGGCAGTCTACCGCATGCAGTTAATTTGTACTTGTAATATCCTCGCTAACTAACAAGCAGCAGCATTGCAAGAAAATTAACAATTTCTATCATCATAGTCCTATCATAGGACTCCTATGTCTTCCAAGTTTTAGACTGAAAATGATTCACAGGAAATCTCAGTCTTATTCAGAATCAGTGGGCAGCGTGCCATTTTCCTGGGAAGAAAAGCCGGGGATTTCCAAGTTTAGTCCCGGCTTGCCCAAAACAAGACCGCCGGTCCTCGGATTCAGCCGCCTTTACAAAAATCACTTTCTTCTCATTTTCAGAGCCCCTGAATATGATGGGGTGCTACGCTGATAATTATGACATGAAGATTTCTCCTCCGCCACGAATGACTCAGCCACCAGGTCGAAGTCCTTCAACGAAAGGCCTATGGGGAAGGCGCCAAGACGACCCTTTCGCTGCAGCCATCAAGGAATGCACCAAAAATGTCACAAGCCTCGGAGATCCAAGCAGAATTAAGAAATACATCGGATCCATCAAGAATAGAAATCAAAGCATCATACTCTCGTGCAAGGGGACCTGCGATGTGAAAGAGGGTAATTTGTTAGATTGGTTGATCTTCCTCCCTCCTCGGGGTAGAAATGGTAGGTGCCAGGCGAGGTAAGGATTTCAGACAGAGCATTAATGCATGCAGAGCATAAAGTGAGGTCGTATTTACTTTTAGATTAAGTAATTGCTAGGAGAGAATTTACGAGAAGCAATATAAATGTGTTCTTAAACTTGGTCGAATAAAGTCCTAATGTTTACATTATCGATGTAGAATGATCAATCAAATATTATGTATTATTAAGTGGATGATGATGATCATGTTGAGGATTGGATTATGAATCTCTAATCTAATGCACTTGAATCTCCGAAGAGTTTTTATTCTAAGGTTCCGTTAATCACATAACTATTCCTAGGTGGGCTGCCAAAGCTTACAACTCGAGAGGGCCAAAGCCAAAAGGGCGTATACAAAGAATTATAAAAAAGGAGAAGAAAATAATAGATAGAAAATAGAAAAGCACAGGTGTCTAATGTTCTGTACCCCCGTGCTCTGGGTTTAGTGCTTCAAAGTTCAAACTCTGCTCGATCTCTCCTCTCAAAAGCCCTGTAAACCTGGGTCTGCGTCCCCTGCCTGGCTGTCCGATGCTATAATCCTTTGAAAATAAATAAATAAAAAAAAGATTATGGCTTTGCCTACTGCAATGGTTTCTCCGGTGGCTGTTGCTCCCTCAAGCATGGTCACCCGCAGTCGGCAAAAGGGTCTCAGTTTCATTGCCTCGAAACCAATTACCGGTACAACTACTCCACCGCCTCAAATGTGTTTGATTTTAAAGTTCCGTTCTTTGACGATTAACGCTAATCAAGCTAAGTTGGTGAGCTAATCTTTTATTTTCATTACCTTTTTAAGTTATCTATCTGCATCTGCATTCATTTACATATTCAAGATCATTTTTTCGCCATATTTGGTTGGTTCCATCTCAATCGTGTCGTGTGTGATCGTAGCCGCTAGCTGATATTAGTATATTACTGTTTAAACATGATTTATATGAAGCCAACTACGACGGATTAACTTCCTTCCCTAGTTGGTTTTTTTTTTTTTGGCCAAAAAAGAAAAGAAAAATAAAGAAATAGTGGGAATCAGAAATGAATGGGGGAATCATTAATATGAGTTTACCTATTCTGCAAAGAAAAAGGGGGAAAAATGGTGTAACCCCGAGTGATGACATACACCATTGGCCCAAGTGTTCAGGTTACGAGATGTTGAAGGGTTTAAGGAGACATGGTTTCTGTCCCTTTCGCTCGTTTACCTTCTCTATCTTGTTGAAATGTCTTGAAACTGTAGTCACATGTTTTCTTGAGCACCACAATGCAAAAAATTAGAGTTATCCAGACAAAGGGAAGAGTTGTTTTGGATGGATTATTTAGAAAGAAAGATGTTAAGCTGGGGATTGGTGCAATCTATTTAGATTATGAAGAGTTGAATGAGTGCAGTGTTCTCCAAGTGAGGTTTAACCTTTTACCTACAGATCTTAGATTTATGTCCTACAAGATCTTAAAAGCCATTTGTTGATGTTTTGCCAACACCTGCTACAACATTCATGATCTTTTAGGAATAAACCAGCGGTAATGGAGGATTAGGGGCCAAGCAGAGCAAGTGAAGCTTTTCCATTTCTCAGTTACTGTGCATCACTGGCATAATGATCTAGCGGTCTGTCGCATGGTCAGAGTGATGCGATAGGTACCAACCCAGGGTTCCGCACACTAGTACCGGAACTGATGAGATGTGATCCCTTATGTACAAAAATTTTTCAGGTGAAACTTCAATGACAATTTGGACGAGTTATAGAAAGTTCTTTCCGTGGGACGTATGGTTTATTTTTGATGAATGAAAATTTAACTGTGGAAAAAAAAATTAGCAAATTTGCAATTAACAGTCCTTATCTGCCCCTTCCCCCTCCTGGCGTGATATTAATTTGGAAGATCACCACCAAGAGCTGCAATAGCTGTTTATAATCTGAAGATGCTGGCTTTAAGCAAAAATGATGTGAGCTTGAGGACAATTTGCATGCTGCAGAAATTATCATTTTCACATATGAGTATAACATTCTGAGTGGCGATGTTAGACATCCATAGGGAATAGTCGTTTTCTTCAGTTTGTCATGCAATACTACGACACTGAGTGGGTTTACTGGGATCCCCTGTTTGCTCTCACAATGTTATCTACTGCTGCTGTTTAATTCATTGGCTCTTTTCATGTTTCTTAATTTAACTTTTGCAACTGTTCTTGTTTATTCATTGTGTAAATGGCTGATTAAAATGACAGCAATTACTTAGGAATTAAGATATGTTGGAGGGAGATTGCAACTTACCATCTTCTCCATGGGATTAAGCAATTGGCACCTTGATGCATTCTGCATTGAGCTTATCTTCCTTTAAATTATTTGGCTTATCGTTGATGCAGACAAAGTCTTCTGGGTTACAGCCCAATGCATCAATGTTTGGAACATTGTTGACATGATTAGCGATCACAAATGATGGAATGCTTGCAACAAGAGTGTCCCCCCATCTTAATGATTACTTGGAGCCCTTCATTTTTGACTTAAGACCACATGAGTCGTGGATTTTTTACTTAAGACCCTTCATTCTTGACTTAATGATTCATGGATTTCAAGCTCTAAGACAAGAATTTCCCACTATTTAACAGGCCACTTAAATCCAAATATGGAAATTGATATTCTATCAAAGAATATACTCTGCTGCTATTCTGAAGTAATTGTTAGACGTTTAAACTTCCTTCTTAGAATTGACATGCGAAGTAGTTAAAAAATTCATAACTTCAATGACAAGCCTCTGTCCTTACCTTTTGGCCAGAATTTGGTGCGAGAAACAGAGGTTTTAAATTATACAATGATGAAGAATTTCTTTATTTGAGTAAGAATATGATTGGATTAGCAACTTTTGTCTTGTGTGACAGCTCAACAAACTTTTTTCATTTGGATATTTGCTGCTCTTATTTCATGAGATTGGATGACCTTTTGAAGGCTCTCTTTGCTCTCAAGTTTCATGTTAATCATCATTTGATTGACTTTTATCACGGCTGTTTATATTGAGATTTTGTGGCAAATATCACCCGCCCTCCTTTTAAAGAATCCGTAGGTAGATTGTTGAAGCAACTTTGTCAAGACAAGTTTTTTGGATAGGGTATTATTTGAAATATTATTTGGAATAATTACTGTAGTACTTTTTGTGATGTGATGTATGTGAGATAAAAAGGTGGTTGGGAATATAAAAATGTGAGTTGAAAAATGTGTTTATGATGCAAGCGAAATATTATTTGGGATAATTGGGTATCCAAACACACTCAATGTTTTTATTCGCACATTGACCCTAGACACCGCTGTGCAGCTTCCCACTGAGTCTGAGAGCTGGAATGTTGCTATTA